GTCCGATTTCGAAGTCTGACGTCCAATTTTTTGTCCAGTTTTTTCTTGCCCGATTTTTCGTCTGATTTTTTTGTCCAATTTTTTGTCTTGTTTCTTTTGTCTGATTTTCTGTCCAAGGCTTTATCCGATTTTTTTTCAATTTTTTCATCTGATATTTTTTGTCCGATATTTTGGCCGATGTTTTTTGCCCCATTTTCTTGTCCCATTTTCCATCCGATTTTCTGTCTGATTTTTGGTCCAATTTTTTGTCCGATTTTTTTGTCCAATTTCTTGTCCGATTTTTTTGTCCGATTTCATGTCCGACTGTCGGATGTCTGATGTCTCCGATGTCTTCTGGGTTCCATGTTCCATGCCGCATGTCCCATGTCTGATGTCCCATGTTCGATTTCTTTGTCTGATTTATTGCCTATTTTTTCCAATTTTTAGTCCGATTTACTGTCTGCTTTGTTGCCTGATTTTTTTTCAGATTTTTTGTCCGATTTCTTGTCCGATTTTTTTTGTCTGATTTCATATCTGACTGTCGGATATCGTATGTCTGATGTCTTATCTCCAATGTCTGCTGTTCCATGTTTCGTGTCAAATGTCCAATGTCTGATGTCCGATTTTTGATGTGTGATGTCCGATGTCTGATATATTATGTCCAATATCTGATGTGGAATGTCCAATGTCTGATTTTTGTTGTCTGGTGTCTGATGTCCCATGTCTTAGTTATTGCCCATTTTTTCCGATTTTTAGTCCGATTTTTTTTGTCCGATTTATTTGCTGATTTTTCGTCCAATTTTTTTGTCCGATTTCTTGTCCAAGTTTTTGGCCGATATTGTTTGTCCAATTTTTAGTGCGAGTTTTCGTCTGACTTTTGCTGTATGAGAGGATGAATGGAATGACAGGGATCACTGGGACGACAGGGATACCTAGAATGACCGGGATGAAAAGGTTGTAGGGATTGTACCCTTTTTTTAACAAAAACTTCAAGGATTTTTCAAGGACTTTCAGGGACACATTTCCAATTGTTGAAGGATTCCAAAAAGAGACTTGAGTGTGTCTTTTTTATTTCTTCCACAGCATGACTGCAATTTTAATTTTTATCCAGAAGATCTTTCTGTGTTTGCTCCTTTTAGGCACTTGACAATGTGGGTTGGATTAAGTTATTCCTGAAATTCGAGAACTTTCCAGCACCGACTGCAATTTTCAAGGACTTTCAAGGAGCGTGCAAACCCTGAGGTTGATTAGGGTGACTGGGATTATTTGGATGACTGGAGTAACTGGAGTGACTAGGATAACTGGGATGACTAGGTTGAATGGGATTACTGGGATAACTAGGAGAACTGGGCTGACTGGGATAACTGGGGTGACAGGGATGATGAGAGTGACTCGGATGATTAGGATGACTTAGCTAGGTGACTGGGATGACTGTGATAAAAGGGATAACTAGAAAAACTGGGATGACTACAGTGATGAGATAACTGAGATGGCAAGGGTGTCTGGTGTGACTGGGATGAATAGGATGACTAGGATGACTAGGATGACTGGAATGATTGGAATGACTAGAATGACAAGGATAAAGGGAATGACTAGGATCACTGGGGTGAGCGGAATGAGTGGGATACTAGGATGACTTAGATGACTAGGGTTACTGGGATAACTGAGATAACCAGGATGACTGGGGTGACTGGGATGACTAGAATAACTATGATGACTAGAATAACATGGGTTGACTTGGATGACTGTGTTGACTTGGATGACTGGGTTGACTTGGATGACTGGAATGATTTGTATGATTAGGATGAATAGTATGAATAGTAATGAGATGACTTGGATGGCTGGGATGACTAAGATGACTGGGATGACAAGGATGACTGGGATGACTGAGATGACTGGAATGACTTGCATGATTAGGATGAATAGGATGACTATTAATGAGATGACTTGGATTGCTGGGATTAGTGGGATGCCTAGGATGACTGCATGACTAGGATGAATGGGATGACTTGGTTTATTGTGATAACAGGGGTGACAAGGATGATTGTGATTGTGATGGGATGATATAACTGAGATGACTAGGGTAACTGGGATAACTGTGATTGCAGGGATAAGTAAATGACAGGGATTACGGGAATGACTGGGATGACAGGGATGCCTGGGATGGCTGTGATAAATGGAATGACTGACATGGATGGGATAACTACGATTACTGGGATGACAAGGATGAATGGGTTGACTGGGATGACTAGGGTAACAGACATGACAGTTGTGAACTTGTCGACTAGAATGACTAGGGTGGGTCAGTGGGATTATTAGAATGACTAAAATAACAGGTATACCTAGGATGACAGGGATGACCATGTTACCTGGGATAACTAGGATGACAGGTGAGACTAGACTGACAAGGATGACTGGGACAACTGGGGTGACTAGAGTCACTGGGATGACAGGAGTGATTAGGGTGACTTGCACGACTAAAATGACTGGGACTACTTTTTGATTAGGATGACTGGGTTGGCTTGGATACCTCGCATGAATAGGATGACTGGGATAAGTTGGATGGGTAGGATGAGTGGGATGACCTCATCTTTAATGAAGGCACCCGAAAAAGATTTGATACTTTAAAGGGGGGAAACAGTAGGATTTGGAATTGTGTGTACCTCTGGAAAAATCTTAAACGAAATGCAGTAGTCTCACACCAGTTAAAAAAAAGTTACAAAAAACATGAAAAAACTGATACCTGAAATGCCTGAAATCACCAGTGGGGGCCACAATCCCTCTTCGTCTTGACATGTCATCCCTTTAGTTGAAGAAATGTTTTTGATATCCAACTTGTGATGGGCCAAGAATCTTCCAGAACATCACCAAATGGGAGGGGTTCTGTTAAATGGCCAAAGATGCAAGAAATTATACAGGTACATTTGACTGTCAAGTAGAAAGGAAGAATTAGTCTCCCTACAGTACCTATATATGGATGTCTATTTTTCTGCAAAAAACGTTTCCTACCACCATAAATAAATGAATACTTGCTTCTTTTCAAAATTCACGGAAGATTTTAACAAAAAGATTTTCCTGGCAATATTAACTTTATATGCTTAAGAAATTTTTAAATTTTGTGACCTGACAACAGCTTTACATTAGCTTGTGAAGACTATCTCAGATCAAGAACCTTGAATTTTTTAAGTAAATAAGAGAAGCAATTACTAATAAAAAATGGGTGTACAACAACAGCTGGGTGATTATAACCACTGCAAATGTCCACTTCCTCATCAGAGAAAAACCCTGAGCCAGCCAAACCCCACACTCAGGGTGCTTTCCAAAAGTCTGGCAGCTGGACCATAGCTGGACTGGTCATTTTGACAATGAAATAGGCTTTTATCAAGACATTTTCTGCTGAAAACCTCTTCTGTGCATACTGTTTAGGATATGTCTGACTGAATAGTTTTGATTAAAAGTGAAATTCTCATTAGGACCAGAACAGTCTGGCCGGTCGGTACTGACAAATGGAAAGCACCCTCAGTGATCTCCCAGGCCAGTCACAGACAGAACTGTAAAACCAAGTCTCTGTAATGAAGTAGGGTACTATTAGCAATAAATTATTCCTGACAACATACATTACAAACCTAATCAGTTGTAATTCCTAGACCATGATCCTGTTGTCCTCTAAATCCAGACTCTCTTCCAAAGAATGCAGTCCATTTCTATTAACCTCTAACCACTTTGCCTCATTTGTTGTCCTTTTTCTGCCTGAAAAAAATAAACAAACCATTTTTATCAGCACATAAACTGGAGACAATATGATGGAGTCACTTCTTGATAATGGCTGTCACTCATTTCTTAAACATTTATAGATGTTTGGATGTCACATATAATATCTGCGTTATGTCTAATGACCAAATCCAAACAATGCTTGTTCTTAAACCATTAACTCTACGGTAGAGAATTAACTCTTGTCTCAAGTATGATAATAAACATTAAATCCTACAGCAATATAACACAGGGGTATAGCTAGGATTTTCAGAGAAAGAGGTATGCACAATTTTCCAAATCCTCCTCCCCTCATTCTTATTAGCCCGAACTTTTTTCAGGTTTCTTGATTAAAGGAGTGTTTACGTTGTAAGGTGAAACATTGTTATGAAATGGCATATCAGGAAGTTGTAAAAATCATAAATTGGTTACACCAACAAGCTACATGTGTACATGTACTATCTTGTGTAAAAAATTGTTTTTCACTAACAAAAGCACCCTACATTTGCATCTCAGTCATCCTTGTCACCACAGTAATCCCATTCATCACAGCCGTCCAGTCATCACAGTCATCTAATTCATACCAGTCATTCTAGTAATCTAAGTCACCCTTAGTAGTTGTCTCAGTTGTCCCAGTCATCCTAGTCATCACAGTCATCTAATTCATACCAGTCATTCTAGTCATCCCAGTCATCCTAGTCATCTAAGTCATCCTTAGTAGTTATCCCAGTTGTCCCAGTCATCCTAGTCACCCAATTCATCTCAGTAATCCTAGTCATTCTAGTTACCCCAGTCATCCTAGTAATCCCAGTCATCTTAGTAATCAGTCATCATAGTTAACCCAATCACCCTAGTCATCACAGCCATCCCAGTGATCATAGTAATAACAGTTATCCTTGTTGTACCAGTTATCCCAGTAATCCAGTTCATTCCAATCATCCTAGTCATCCCAGTTATTAACCGTCATCCTAGTTATTCCAGTTATCGCTGTCATCATAGTCATCCAAGTCATCCTAGTAATGCTAGTCATCCTGGTTATCCCAGTCATTCCAGCCATCACAGTCATCAGTCATCCCAGTCACCCTAGTCATCCTAGTCAACACAGTCACCTTGGTCATTCTAGTCATCACAGTTATCCCAGTGGTAACAGTTATCTTTGTCATCCCAGTCATTCTAGTTATCCCAGTCATCCCATGCATCCTAATCATCTTATTTTTCAGTCATCCAAGTCAACCAAGTTGTCCGAGTCATCCCAGTTATCCTAGTCTCAGTCATCTTCCAATTCCTGTTATACTTGTCATGGAAGTCATCCCATTCATTCTAGATATCCCAGTCATCCCAGTCAACCTTATTAATAAAGTCATCCTAGTCATCCATGAACCAACTCATCCAAGTACCCAGTATGTACGTTATCCAACACAGTCACCCTATTCATCAAAGTCATCTTAGTTTATATTTAAGTCCCCCTAGTTATCCTAATCATCCTAGTCATCCTTGTCTTTCTCATCGGTCAGTATAAAACACAGACTGCAGACTGCAAACTACGGACTGTGGACTAGGTATAAAATGTGGACTGCAGAATATTTTGGTAAAGACTGTGTTAATTGGTTCTAAGTAAGGTAAAATAAGGTCAAAAGATCGCTACATAGCACAACACATGAATTTAAGTTACAGACACTCCTAGAAATTCTTGGTGGAGTTGTGCCACCCAGTTCTCCAGATGCTGAGCCTGACCAAAATGCTATTTTCTACACCCATTTTTAGACCTGTTTTTGGTCTCTAACATCTATGACAGGGGTCACAAACGCAATGTACATGTTTACATAGGTGTGAATCATGTCATCATCACTTAGAATATAGGGTTGGATGATATATTATTTCAGTTATTATTCATGTTTATATAGGTGAGTAACCCCTCCCCCCTAAATACAGCTTTTTTGCATCATGGAATGCTCCTATTTTGATCTTCTCATCTGGGTTCTTCATTTCCTCATATCCCCAGGACTTTAAAGTGGAATTGTGGCATCTAAACGAGTTTTAGCCTAACTAACACCAATACTATTTTTTTTTTTATTTGGTGCTTCTCAGTTTCACATCTACTATTGGTTTAAAACTATAAATTGTATTCTCTTCTAACTCCTCCTTTTTATAAAATTCAAGGTTCATTTTCAGTTGCCTTGAGTAGTGGCAGTCCTCTATCCGTTTCTCAGTTTTACCCTTCTAAAGCTGTTTTTATATACTCAGTCCATTGTCCGTGTTTTATACCTAGTCCATGTTCTATACTCAGTCCATAGTTTCTAATCCCCATTTTATCCCCAGTCCGTGTTTTATACCCAGTCTGCAGTCCGTGGTCCAAGGTCCGCGTTTTATACTGACCGCTTTGTTATTATCCTAGTCATCCTTGTCATCTTAGTTATCTTAGCCATCCAAGTTATCACTATCTTCTTAGAAATACTATCGCCCCATATCAGTGCTGCCAATTGTATCTAAAATCCTTGAAAACATGTAGCAAAGTTGCCATTAAAATGAATATCTTCAAGAGAACAATTTGCTTTATCAAGGATTACAATCAGCGTTCCATTTTGGCAATTCATTCTAATTTTGGCACTTATCAGAATGACAGACAAAATTTTGTTTAAAATGGATAATGATGAACCCACATGTCTAGTATTTGTTGATTTTCACAAAGCTTTCTACATAATCAATCACAATCTATTATTGAAGAAATTATTAGTGTACGGAGCCAGCCCGGATAGCGTGGCATGGTTTCAATCGTAGCGAGAAGGGTGACCACAGTTTGTGAAACTAGGGCATATAACATCTGAGCTAAAACCTGTGAGGCAAGGGGTACCGCAGGGATCAATCCTCGGTCCAGTTTTATTTCTACTATTTGTGAATGATATGCCTTTGCATTTGAACAACCATTGATATATATGCTGATGATACCACCCTGTCTTTAAGTGCAAACTGGAAAAATATCACTTCTTTAACTAGGGCTCTCTCTAATGATTTAGAGAATATTGAGAAACGGTCAACTGAAAACAAAATGTACAGCTGTACATCAATACCGAGAAGACCAAAGTATTACTCATTACAGAAAAAACTATGTTCTCGCTATAACCTTTAAATCCGAACACGATTTATCGAGATTTTTTTTAGGATGTATATTTTTGTAAATTTTATTCTTTGCAAATATTTTTTTTTATATTAATTAGTTAGAGCTGATAGTATTTTAATTTAGTGTCCCTTATTAGTAGGCCTTACATGGCCAGCTAGAAGACCTGACACTGAAATAAAGTTTATCATCATCATTATCATCATCATCATCACCTGAGGAGTAATGTGGGCGTTATTTTGAATGACCCTACCGCTAAGTTCAAAATGGACTCTTGGGGACAGATCATTTACTGCAGCTGCTCCAAAGATATGGTACGGTTAATTGGACTATATTAGGAAAGACAATGATTTTGATAAGTTTAAGAGACTCATTAAGACGTTATATTTTAAAGGGGCACGTAGTGACCTGTCTTGAGCTATCGTAGGTTTTTATTTTCTACTTTTATCTTGTCTTTCTACTTCTTACTTGTTATGAGTTATGCGAAATTACCTATTAGGAAGGAAATGTAACAAATGATTAAGCTTTAGTATATAGAGAGTATGTAATTATAACTTTTGTTTTAGTCTTATTCAAGTGTTATGCGCATTTGATCATATCTTTTAATGTTAAAATGCGTAATAAAAGCAATAAATATTATTATCATTTGAAGCAAATTTTTCTTTCTTTTCATTGGCCAAGAGACCACCACGTGACCTGCAAACAACTGCCTACAAATAATAGTCTGCTCATGCACAATGCCATCCAACAGTGTTTGGCTGCAAATAATATTCTTCTGATGTGTAAAGGAAACCGTGCTTTTCTCCTTGTTGCGATCGCTCTTGCATCGAATGATAAAACAATTCTTGAACTCGGTTATCGCAAAATATCATGACTTGTCAGTGTCTCGCAGATCAATTATTTGCCTCAGCCTTTGGCTTCCGCAAATAATTGATCTGCTCGCCACAGAAAAATCACAATATTTTGCTCAACCTCGTCCAATAATTGTTAATTATTATTCATAGGTTACAACATAAGCTTCGTGTGGAAACAGCAAGCTTACAACAACACCATAATGCCACAAATATCAACCAAATATCGCATCACTAGTTACTGGGTTTAATTGTTGATAAAGATCTTAGCTTTGAAGCACACATAGATGAATTATGTACAAGAAACTGTCAAAACAACTTGGACTTTTGAGGCTCATTAGTCCTTATCTCAAGCAAAGCTACAAGTTAATTTTCTACCTCAGTCCAATCTGATAATTTTGCAGTAAGGAATTGCTATAGAGAGTCTTACGGATGCAGAAGAGAGTTGTACGCATTAGAACAACAGACATGTTAACTATTTTTAAAGAACTTAACTGGATTCCATTTCTTATTGAGACATGTATGAATAGACGTTCTATACCCTATAAGAGACTAGAGGGAACAACTCCCGATTAACCATTAATTCTATAGTATATGAAGACAAATTCTCAGATTCATAACAGATCCACTTGTTTTTTAAATTTAAATTTTCATTGTCCTGTTTTTAAGAAAAACACAGAAAAGGGCCAGACTTTTAGCATGAGAACGATTAGAAATTGGAACAAACTGTCCGCTGATGTAAAGAAATTTAAAAATATTACATCCTTTAAAAAGAAATTGTATACAAATTTAATAATTACTACACAAAGAGAGACGAAATAGTTAAGTAGCCTTTTATATTAAGTCTATAAAATAGTAAAATCAGTAAATTTTTCATAATTACTTTACTTGTTTTTTATATTTAAAAATAGTTACCGGTAATTTAATTTTTTAAATAGTTAAAGTTTTTAAAGTAAGACTCTAGATAGTTTCTAAATACTATTATTTTTTGCTTGTTTTTAATGATTGTTTCCATTACAGCTTTCATTATGTACAGTACAGCTCAGAGATAAGCGTCCACGTTAACCTGCTTCAAACAAGTTAGGGAGAAGTTCGTTAACGTGAGTCTGTTTACCTAATGTGCTTCAAAAACGGGCTTGCATTATGATCACATTGTAAAATTATTTTAATATTTTATTGACTTTATGTTTATAAAGGACCACAAGTTTATCAGTTTAGATCATCACTGTCAGCTGTTTAACCTCTTTAAATAAAGGTGTCACTTCACTTAGTCATCCAAGTCATTGGTACCATCATAGTCATTGTAGTTATTGTAGTCATCCTAGTCATTCATTCATCCCAATCATTCAATCATCCAAGTTAACACAGTTATATTAGTCACATATTATTGAGAAGAATCTACACTGTATTGAAAAAAATATCGTAGTCATTTTGGCCTTCATATAAATCCCAGTGAACCAAGTCATTCCTTTCATTCCAGTCACTCTTGTTCTCTCAGCCTCTTATCCCAGTTCTCACAGTTATCCTAGTCATCCTAGTCATCCTACTCAAGTCACCCAAGTCACCCAAGCCACACTAATCACCCTAGGCACGGTAGTCACCATAGTCACCCAAGTCATCCTAGTCATTCTACCCATCCCAGTCAAACCAGTCACGCAAGTCACCCTAGCCACCCTTGTCACCCTAGTCATCCTAGTTATCCCAGTCACCCTAGACACAATAGTCATCCTGGTCACCCTAGTCACCCTAGTAACCATAGTCATTCATCCCAGTCATCCTAGTAACCCTAGTCACCCTACTAACCCAAGTCACTCTAGTCACCCTAGTCATCCCAGTCACCCAAGCCACCCTTGATACCCTAGTTACCCTAGTCACCCAAGACACCCAAGTCAGCCAAGTCATCCTAGTCACCCTAGTGACCTTTGTCATCCTAGTCACCCTAGTCGTCGTAGTCACCCAAGTCATCCTAGTAACACTAATCACCCTCGTCACCCTCGTCACCCTAGTAACCCTAGTTATCCTAGTCACACAAGCACAGTGCAAAGAAAGTCCTGTCTGTAATAAACCAATAAATAATAAAAAATTAATATTAATCCTGTGTCAAAGAATTTTTTTTCAGGCTACATGTAGTTAAAATGACTCTAGGGCTAGTACGTGGTAAGCAAGCAAGCGGTAAAACAGACACTCTTTGCACCCTGCCCAAGTCACCCTAGTCAGCTTAGTCATCCTAGTCACCCTAGTCACCCAAGTCATCCTAGTCCACATTAAGTGGATAACGACCTGTATACGTACTCACGATTACCTAGCTAAGCCTTGCGTATAGTCAACCTAGTCACCCAAGTCAGCCTAGTTATCCCAGTCACCCTAGTCACCCAAGTCACCCTAGTCACCCTAGTTATCCCGGTCACCCAGGTCACCCTAGTCACCCTAGTTATCCCTTTCACTTAAGTCACACTAGTCACCCTAATCACCCTAGTCATCCCAGTCACCCAAGTCACCCAAGTCATCCTACATGTAGTTATCCCAGTCACCCAAGTCACCAAAGTCATCCCAGTCACCCAAATCACCCTAGTCACTCTAGTCATCCTAGTTATCCCAGACACCCAAGTCACCCTTAGTCATCCTAGTCATCCCAGTCACCGAAGTCACCCTAGTCACCGTAGTCTCCCTAGTTATCCCAGTCATCCAGGTCACCCCAGTCACCCTAGTCATTCCAGTCACCCAAGTCACCCAAGTCACCCAAGTCACCTACGTCATTAAAGTCAACCAAGTCATTGTTGTCACCCTAGTCATACCAGTCACCCTAGTCACCCTAGTCACTCGAGTCATTCCAGTCACCCAAGTCACCCTAGTCACCCAAGTCACCCTAGTCATACAAGCCACCCAAGTCACCCAAGTCACTCAACCCACCCATGCCACTCAATTTACCCAACTCAGTATACTCATACCAGTAAACCAAGTCATCTAAATAAACCTAAACATACCTATGACAATACCTATACACATTTATATACCTATTCAACCTTTACAAAATAGATAACCCTACTCACCCCAGTCCCCCAGCTCCCCCCACCCACCCTACTCACCCCAGCCCCCCAACTCACCCAAGCCACCCAAGTCACCCACGTCACCAAAGCCACCCAAGTCATCGTTGCCACCCTAGTCACCCCAGTCACCCTAGTCCCCCTAGTCACCCGAGTCATCCCAGTCACCCAAGTCACCCTAGTCACCCAAGTCACCCTAGTCATACCAGTCACCCAAGTCACCCTAGTCACCTAAGTCACCCTAGTCACCCAAGTCACCCTAGTCACTCTAGTCATACCAGTCACCCAAGTCACCCTAGTCAGCCTAGTCACCCTTGTCACCAACCCTAGTCACCCTAGTCATCCTAGTCAGCCTTGCCACCCTAGTTACCTTAGCCACCCTAGTAGCATCTTTACAGGTTGCTATGCCCCCGAAACAATAACAAAAAGGCCCAAGAAATTACCTGTACAGTTTGCTTTGGCCCCAAATCAATTACAAAAAGGCCCAAGAAATTATTACAATGTATAAAGAACAACTGCTAGGAAGGGGGTAATGTAAAACTTACATTTTGGTTCTGTCTTTGCTATGTTACTCTTCAGGGTAACAACTGTCACTGGACACTTATGACTGCAACAAAACAAAAAGTCATTTAAAGAAATGAAAATCAAAGAGTCACAGCCATGTGTAAACCACAAAGGAATTCAAAAAGAAGGGGGGTAGTGGTGAATGGAATGAGGGAACTGACTGGTCAGCTGAAGTCCTTGCTTTCACAACAACAGTCATGTTAAAGAGTTCGATTTCTCCTACCCAAACCAACACTGAAAGCTTATTATTTAAATGAAGTCTAAATGGCAGTTTAAGAGACTCAGTGGCAATTCAGATCTGTTTAGAAGGTGTTCATTTTACGTATAATTTTATGTTACAGGTCAAATTTGATTTCAGGTTAATTTTGATTTAACATAGGTTGATTCTTAATTTCCTTTGTTTCCTAGTCCTTATTCATGAATAACAAGAATGTACTTACAGCGGCGTTCAGTCTCGCCTGCTTGGAGATTAAATCGAGAAACAAGGAGGAGATTAATTCTAAAAAAAACATGATTTACTTACTAAAGGTTTTTTACTTCCTACTTTATCGACTTCAATACTTTTCATTTGTTTCTGCATTGATTTAGTAGGCGTGTTAGTGACGACCAGAAATACCTCTGCAGTTGCAGGCTATACACGTGAATAAACACACAAAAATTCAAGGGCCTCAATTCCAAAGAAATTACATCATTGCCAGAGATCAAAAAAGTTATTTACATGGCACATCATTTCAATCATCGCCAAAAATAAATTGCATGCTCATCACAAGACCATTTGCACACAATGAAAGTTTACAACATCCTACCATCGCAATTTTGCTAATCAAGATTCTTATTTTTTTCCCGACCACTCAGTAG